CTCCATTCCAGAAATGAGGAAAGAGGATGCAAAGTTTTCCCACAGTTCTCAACTCTGTCTTCATATAAGAATTGCTTTGGTCCCAGACTCAGATGCTAATTTACTTGGTGTAGTGTTGAATCTAATCTCTCTTTAAAACAAACAAACAACAACAACAAAAAACTCTGATTTTTTTTTAACCGGTTTTTCTGTGATATTTGATACAAGTAAGTTTGAAATGGCCAAAACCATGAAGAGGACATTTGAGCATTTCAAGGGCAAAGAATATGTCTAATTCACTTTGAGTACAAGAAGGAAATGAATGAATGAGCTGGTCAAATTTCTAACTCAGAGTAGCCTAAATCTAAAGCTCATGACATTGTCAAAGTCGATGTATTGCTGCCCTTGAACTTGTATACCTTAGACATTCCTCTAGTCCAGGTTCTTAACTTCCAAAGAGAAGGTCAGAGCTAAATTTCAAAACCTCATACTTCTGTGAAGAAGAAGTCTCCTCTTGTTAGGTTTAGGTAATAAGGGTTAAAAACACGGACTAATAATTTTTGTACAAAAAGTACATTTCATGCAATAATTAAATGATAAAAGTGCAAGCTTTAGAGCAGTGAGCCTTCTTTCTTTGCTTAACTGAAAGATATTCTCACAACAATTAAAGAAATGGTTTCTTATGCACATCCTGAGTGCCTACTATATGCTAGGCATGATGCTCATGATGGATAGCTCCAGAAAGCTCTCACAGAACTTTTAGAGTGCGTTAGGATTTAGACCTGGAAACTTGAGTTTAGGATATTTTTCAAAAGAGGAAAATTCAGGTGACTGATTATCAGAACAAGATAATTTCTGGCAAAGATGGTCTTCAAATAGGCTGATCTTGGAATGAGGGGGTTTTTGAAACACTTGTTTCATTTATTTGTTTAACAAACATTGCTGCTCAACTCACTATCTTGGGGGTCTGGTTGAAGGGTACAAATTGGAAACAAACATATGCTCTTATATTGTAAAAATGGAGAGAAATACATTTATTCTGTTATGCAGAAAGTGATGAATGCCATGAAAGAGATCCAGAGAAAGAATTTTATATGTTCATAAGAGACAGCAATTTAATCTCAACCTAGGGATGAAGATAGCGGAGAGTGAAGGAAAAGTAGAGAAAAACTAGTGAATGGATTTGATACTCTTCATAAGGACACTCATCATTTCCTCCAGGTCCATGCTTAGAAATTTATTTCTTCTGCTAAATAAATTACATATATGAACTGATCTTCTTTTTCATGTTTTAAATGTTATCAGTTTGACGTATAATAATTAAACAGTTAAGAAGAACTCATTTTCCCCCCATTGATTGCTTATTTTTTTTCTTACTTATGTTTAAACAGTCATGGTGGCTGTTTGATTTGGTGTAAAAAGCAGGTGCAAATATGGGGCTTTTTTGGGGGTGGGTACCAGGGATTGAACCCAGGGGCACTTACCAATGAACCACATCCTCAGTCCTTTTTATTTTTTATTTTGAGACAGAGTTTCACTAAGTTGTTGAGGCCTTGCTAAGTTGCTGAGGCTGGCTTAAACTTACGATCCTCCTGCTTTAGCCTCCTAAGCCACTGATTACAGGTGTGTGCCATCATGCCCAACTTGGGGCTACTTTTTAACATTGTCTGGTAATCTCAAGTTAAATTTAGTGATATAGAATTAACCAAAACCAGAATAATTATTACACAGATCAATGTCCTGAAGTCTTGACCCAGACTGGTCATTGGCTGTATTACTTAAATAGTACTTGAAAGAGGGGTGTGTGTGGGGGGGGAGAAGTACCATAAAGAATATAATTAGAGGAGCTGGGGTTGTGGCTCAGCAGTAGAGCACTCATCTAGCATGTGCAGGGTTCAATCCTCAGCACTACATAAAAATAAATAAATAAACAGACAGACAAACAAATAAATAAATAAAAGGTGTTGTGTCCAACTATAACTTATATATAATTAGAACCATCTTAATGCTTCCAGTAAAATAATTCTGTCAGCTAACAAAAGAAACTGGCAGATTTATTATGAGCCTAAAGAGTTTGCTTTAAAATCTCACATATTCCATGGTAATCAATACACTTAGAAAACCAACAGTAGTAGTGTACTCATGATTTCCAATAAGTTTATGCTTATTCAAAGTGTTTGTTTTCAAAACTACCGTTGAAATGTTTTTCTTTTTCATTTCAATTGCTGAACCTTCATAGAGCAAACACCCAAGTGTGCTTGTCGTGCTTTTAAGATACACAAGAATTTAAAATGAAAAGTAAGGCCAGGAAGTTAAAACCCAGATACTGCATTGTCCTGATCTCACAGAGGGCTCCAGTAAGGCAGAGATGTTTGAATTGTGCGCTGCTAAACCAAAGCTCACGGTTCATTTAACTTCCTGATAGTTTCATATTCATAATGAAATCTGCCAGTAAAAACATATTGAAAATATTAAGCATGCTGTATTAGATAAGATTACCCCAGAGAAAAGGCAAAGGAAAATGAAACCTCCAAAGAAAACATGACATTGTTTAAATGGTGTTATGGAGCCCCTTGCTGGCATATGTGAGTATTACCCAACTCTACCCACAGGGCTTCCCCTTTTTTTTTTCTTTTTTCCTCACTAGGAATTGGACCCAAAGCCTCCCTCATTCACACCTTAGGCCTGCACTCTAAGGTGCAGCTATAGCCTCAGCCTGCATTCCTAGACTTTTTCCTTAAATTTGGTTGACTTCTTCTCAACCAGATGGACATGTGGATTATATCTAGATTTTACATTTTAATATATTTATCTTTCAGTGGCTATACTTGAGTGGATAGGGTTTTTTTTCCTGTCACTTGATTTGGTAGATAGGCAAGCTTAATGCATTCTCCACTTTTCTTCATGCTTCTGAATTTCTCAGCCTTTCCCTCATTCCCCCTTGCTCTGTGAATTTTTCCTTCCTGCCTGCCTGGTTACTCTGTCCTTCTTTTTCTGGTCTTAGCTTTATTTTTTTAGCAATTAGTCTCACTTCCTGTGGGCTTTGGCTTTTGTGGGACTTGGTGACAGCCCTCTGTGACATGCCTTTAACTGTCTTTGCCTGTGACTTCCTTGGGTGGCTTCCAGCAGAGGTCCAGGCCACAGGCTGACTCCTCCTTGTGGTTCCAAAAGGGGGAAGGCCTCATGCTTGTGAGATCATCCTCTTTTCCTAACTGTGAGTCAAGGATTTAAGATGTGTCAACTTTCTAACATTCCCTAGAGCATCAGAATACAGATTCAGATATTGTAGAACTGATTTAGAAAAAAAAAATCCAAAATTAAGATGAAAATGATGTAGTTGGGTGAGCTCAGGATATTTAATTAATGGAGTTGAACTCAGGACCTTTCATTCAATGTATTATATCTGTAGTTTTTTAAAAACCTAATACATTGAAATAATATTTAAAATGGCCATAGGAGCACATATCTGCAGTCTCAGATGTTTAGGAGGAAGATCTCTGGAGCCCAGGAGTTTGAGGACAACACAGCAAGACCCCACCCATCTCCAAAAAGAAAAAAAAAAAATAAAGAAAGAAGCAAAATTAAAGTGGCCTGTAGAAAATGTTTGTCAGTATAGGATAAAAGTTGCATACTCTTCTTATTTGGCTTTATTTAAATTCTAGTGATTGATCCACTGAGCAATTGCAGTGTGCCAGTGCAACCTTCTACATATTGATTTCTTCTGTTGATTTCTAACATGGAAATTCTCTGCCCAAAATTTCCTAGAGGATTCTTTTCTACTGTCCTAGTCTGAGAATCTACGGGACAGGAAGAGCCAAGCTCTCAACAGATTGCTCCCTCTGTGTACAAGGAAAGTTGACAGCCTAGAATTAACATCTTTAGGAAGGAAAAGTTTAAATATAAGTCTTCTTGTAGGCTTTGTATTATTCAAAATTAATTAAAACATTGTTATAATTATTCTTCCGCATACAGAATATTTTTTACCTTCTTGATTGATCTATAAAAGATGTCATTTTTTTAAAAGTTCATTTAGGGCTTGTGTTTTGGTTATTGTTTTACAGTGCTGGGAATGGAGCCCTGGGCTTCGAGCATGCTAGGCAAGCCCTCGGTCACTGAGCTGCACCCCAGCCCAAGAGACTATATATCTACTTAATTCCTTCCAGAGGAAATTCCTTATTGGTTATTATTCTTGGAGGTTGTAATTTTAAGGATCTAGGCCAATGGTGATCTCTTAAGCTGCCTCTAATCCCACTGGCCTTTCCAAAAGTGGTCTGTGCTCATCTCCAAAGAGCTGGCTTTTTGGATACCGGTCTGCGACATGATAGAAGGCAGAAGTTTTCCACTCCACACTCAAATACGTAATTCTGTGTGTCATCACTTCTTTCTTAACCCAAGCTTTTGAAAATATTATGTCAAGAAAAACATTAGCCTACATTAATTTTTAGCATGTAAAGCAATTCTAGAGTCTTCTTATTTGAGATAAGTTATTTGAATTTAATGAAAGCATTTTGAGTGTAAATTAAAAGTTAGAATGAAGACAGTAGAAAAATGAGAGACAACATCTGTCTGAGAAGTGGCCTGGAATGGTCTCTACAGCCCAAACCCTTCCCTGGATCCAGTTTACATCACCAAATGCCATAGCTTCTTAGTTCACTCAACTCTGAGTAATTTAACATATAATCTCCTTTCGATTGTTTGAATCAGGCTTTCCCCTGTAAACTTGGAATTTACTTCTGTGCATGGAAAATTAGTTATTTGGGATGAGTAAAGAAATTATATATATATATATATATATATATATATATATATACACACACACACATACATACACATATATATACATATATATATGTATGTATATATATACATACATATATATATATACACATATATATACATATATATGTGTGTGTGTGTATATATATATATATATATATATATATATATACACACACATACATATATATATTTTGCAACCTGAGCAAGAAAGTGCCTAACAATCTTTTCCCTTTCTGTTGTAGTGTTTCTAAGACCTCAGAGAAATTTGGAATCTATAGACCCACAGTTTACAATTCGGAGGAAAATGGAACAGATGAGAGAAGAGAAAGAGCTGGTGGAGCAACTCCGTGAGGTACCCAAGAAATATTGTATAACTAAATAATAATTTTCAGAACCCAAGCCACATTTTATATATTCAAAAAGTAGTTGTGATCTCCCCTACAGGGGTTTCCTTTATACATACGTATAAATGTAGCATTGTTTTAATTATGGTATACTTTAAAATAACACACCATTGTTTGTTTGCTTAACGATAATACTCTATGAATTTAAAGATGTTTACAGAGGTCTTCATTTTGTACCCAAAACTGGTCAGAGTCTTTAAATCAATCATGTACTAAGCAAACCATTTGAATTCCTCTGAAAGATGAAGTCTTGCACGGGGCGCCTTTGGGGATATTAAGCTTGGTGATGGCAGAGACCATAGCTGTCTGGTTCCTTGTTGTAATTTTCCGGTTCCTGATGGGAACTCCATAGATATTTGTGTATCCTCGGGGACTTTATGTGTACCTAGGAAGATTGTAGATGGAAGGTGAAATAGCAGTATATGAACCAGTCCCCGAGGGAGAAGAAGTTGGTATTAGTTATTAAAGGCAGCACTTTATGAATTGCGGCATACGTTTATTACATTTGAAGAGAAGTATGACCTAGGAGAGGTTAAGAAGCTTCTTGGAGGATGCAGGTTTTATGTTAAATCTCCTTTCACAAGCAAATGTTTACTGACCACCAGTCTATACCAGGCCATATTCTAGGTCATGCGTATGGAAAGAGCTAAATAAGGCCCCTGCTCTAATGAATCCTGTCATCTTGGGGAAGAGATACTAAATAAGAAGGAAACAAATAAATATGTAGTTTCAGACAGCAGTGAATTCTACAAAGGAGCAATGAGTCCTATAAATAAAACCCAAGCCAAGATAAGTCTACACATTTGTTATTGCAGATGGTATTCCACATATGGGTTAGCAAGCAGTCAAGGGGGAAGAATTAAAAAAAAAAAAAAAACTCTTGGCATCAATTTAAGTCACTGTGTTTGATTTAACAAGCATAAGAGTGTTTGGATGTCACTTGCCCATTGTATTTAGATGTGCTATAAATTTGGAAGGTCAACTTCCTAATATAAGTGAAAATAAGATCAGGAACTTAGCATGGTCTCTCAAAGAGCAGTTTCTTATCATTTTATCTTAAACTTGGGTCATATTGATTGTGTGTTTGACTAAAAGAGGGCCTGAAAATATTAGGTGTCTACACACAGGAGAGTTTGGAAGGAGATTTATACAACTCTGTTATACACACAGTTTTTCAATATTTTATTTATTGCAAATCACCAGATTAAGCCAACCATTCATAAACAGTTATCTAGTTAAAAGGAGCTTCTGTTGCAAAGCAGAAACTTGTATTCAAGGTCTTAAAATGAATTTCTCTAGTTCTGCTCCCAAGAGGATGGAATAGACACACCTTTTCCTCTGCTCCCACTAAGCACATCTGGGTGTGTTCTGAAAGGTTAAGAGAAGATGGGAGACTGGCTGAGGTCCTTGGGACTTGAGAAACAAGTGAGCTCCGTGGGTTTTCTTTTTGCCTCAGATATCTCAGAGGCAAAGAGCTGAAGGAGTTATAAACTCTAAAAGTCGCAGATTTTGGAAGAAAAAGGAAAAGCCCCAACAAAAGCCTACTTCCTCTAGCCAATCAGGAAATGGGCAATCTAGCAGCACAGAAAACCTTTAGACCCTAAATTTGCTCGACAGCTAAACCCCAGAGGGAAGAAACCATGGTCCCAGCCTCACTGCTTAATCAAAAGGATTGACTCCTGCCCTTCTGGGCTGGTGAAAGAGAAGGCAGTGGGCAACCCGATCCCTGCTGCTAGTAAGGAACCTTTTTGTTCACACAGTGCCAGCAGAGACCACCCGGGAGTATGGATTTCCACCCTTCCCCACCCCCTGGCCAACTGAGACCAAATAGAAAACCTGGATTTCCACATTCACCTGACAGTAACTAGACTAGAAGTTTCCCCCTTCTGCGAGGGCAGCTTTCAAAAAACAACCCGAGGTTTGAATAGGATTCAGATTCACATAACGTAGTATAAAAATGTCTAGGTTTCAACTGAAAACCACTCACCCCACCAAGGAACGGGAAGATAACAAAGTGAACACAGATGACAGCACTGATCTGGCAGAGATGTTGAAATTTGCAAATACATATTTTTAAAAAATGTTTTTTTGAGCTGGGTGCGGTGGCGCACACCTGTAATCCCAGTAGCTCAGTAGGCTGAGGCAGGAGGCTCATGAGTTCAAAGCCAGACTCAGCAAAAGCGAGGTGCTAAGCAACTCAATGAGACCCCTGTCTCTAAATAAAATTCAAAATAGGACTGGGGATATGGCTCAGTAGTTGAGTGCCCCTGAATTTAATCCCAATACCCGCCCCAACAAAAAAAGTTTGTTTTTTGTTGTAGGTGGACATAATACCTTCATTTTATTTATCTGTGGTGCTGAGGATTGAACCCAGTGCCTCACACGTGCTAGGCAAGTGCTGTACTCCTGAGCCACAACCCCAGTTCACTTGGCAAATATTTTAAAGTACCTATGATAAAAATACATTTTTAGCAATGACGAATATAATTGCAGGAAAGGAAAAAATGGTGTCTTCAACAAAGAACTAGAAAATCTCAGCGAAGAAGTAAAAGATATAAAGAATAACTTTTTTTTTCCCTTGAAAAACGACAATAATTGATGTCTCAACTAAAACATTGTCTAAGAGCAAGTCAATCCTGAATCCCTCTTCCACCCCCTGCAGATGATCTGAACCACTCCCAGTTTTGGTTCTGATTTATCGCTTCATTCTGTTTTTGTGTTTTCATAGCTAAGGCCGAGGAACATTGAACTCAAGAAGTGATGTCATTGTTCCTGTCATTTCAATTAGAAATTTTGGACATAACTAAATTCTATTTTTATGCCAAGAGATTGTTTATATTGTTTGAAAATATTTAAATAATGTCAGCATTTTCCAGGTGTTCTTAATCCTTGTCTGCATTAAGAGATTGGGGACTTGGTTCATGAATACTTGTCCCTGTATTTTACCCTCAGTGGCCTCAGTGTCCATAGTAACTGACTCCCTTCTGATTCCCCCCCACAGAGCATCGAGATGCGGCTCAAGGTCACGCTACACGAAGACCTGGGCGCGGCCCTAATGGATGGCGTTGTCCTCTGCCACCTGGTCAATCACATTCGCCCACGGTCTGTTGCAAGCATCCATGTCCCCTCACCTGCAGTTGTAAGTACCACTGAATGACATAAGCAGACTCTTGAGACAGTATTTCTGGTTAAGGATGCCAGAGGGATCCCTGGGACCCCATTCAGATCCTTTCTGTTGGGCCCCAGACAACTAGAAGCCCAGAACAAAGGAATGGGTCTGAGTGAAGTGGCATTTCACTAGGAAGGGATGACATTGAAAACTAAACATGTAAATGGCAAGGAAAAACAAACTTTATTTCAGACATCGAGTTTAAAGAAATTACTGCTCATGGTGCTAACTTCAAGACTAGAAGAATGTAAAGATTCATTTCTCACACAGCCTTATTCCAACGGTGAGGGTCTTTTTAGAAAGCTCTTGCAGTTAGTGGCTTCCCTTCTAAATGAAATCTCTTCCCCCTTTTCATCATTGGGATTTTAGGGTTGTCCTAAAAAGATGTGCATTCTGTGGGAAATTATTAATGACCTGTTAATCCAGAGGTCCGTTAGCCAATCATGTATTCCACCCTTTCTCCATCTCTCTGTGCCAGAGACTTCCTGGAGAGAGCAGGGAAGATGAGGACCAGTGGGGCTCCATCAGTGCCCCCCAATTTCTCATCTCCCCTATGGGGGAAACAAAACCTGCACATGGGGTCCTTGTCCTCATGTGAGCCAGAGAGAGCTGCAGTCTGTTCTGTGGTTGCTGAGGTGTGAGGGAGGGCATCAGGGATAAGCTTGTCTTTGAAACTCACATAGAGCTTAGACAGAGAAGAAAGAAGAATTTCTCCTCGCAGCGCTGCATTACGGGAGGCAGCAGAGTTTAGAGCTAAGAATGTAAAGTTTGGATGAAAATTCTAGGTCTGTGTCTGACAGTCATAGGTAGGACTTTGGCAAGTTGTATATTCTGTCTTGAACTCGGTTTGCTCTTCTCTGTCATGGCATTGTCCTAGCGAGGGTGAGATGACTTACGACAGAGGGTACGCACACAAAGGTGAACCATTACTATCACTCATGATTATATAGAGAGCAGATGCTAAGAATCCTTAGCTCCTAATCTCAAGGTACAATGTATTCAGTGTATTGGGAGAAAGCTTATGAGAAGCCCTGTCCCCATCCCTGTGCCCAGGAAAGTTTCATGATGGCATTATTAATCCTACTTTGTTTTCTCTTGGCTGTAGGAAAAGTGAGCCGATGATCCCATTTCAACTGTCAATTTCTTTTCTATAATATTGAATGCATTTTTCCCTTCAAAAGTGTGACTTGTGGAGAGCCCAGTTTGGCTTTTCTTTCAAATCTGCCTCTAATAGCCTCAGTGGAGGATACAAATTCTACCCTCTGATCCAATAAGAGACATTCTGGTATCTTTTGCAGATGGGGTCCAAACAGCCATAAGTTGCCTGAGCCACGCACCATGTTCTCATTTTATTATGTTTCCCCAATTATGCAAAAGACACTGAGTCCTCAGCCTCCAACAGGAACAAACAGCTATCCTTTGATAAGGTGCCAGAGGACACTCTGAGTCACGAACCTATATACACTTTGTTTATTTATTCACTTTTCCAGACAAACAATACAGTGCTTTAGAAATCTTTTCAGTTTTGCCTTTTTATGATATTATATTTTTTAATTGAGAAAATAATGCCTGATTAGAAAAAATAAAGAAAAACAAAAGAGTGCACTAGGGATGTAGCTCAGCAGGAGAACATTTCCCTAGCATTTATAAAGCCCTGGGTTCAATTCCCAGCACAGCAAAATAAGTAAATAAATAAATATTAAAAAAAGAAAAACAGATCATCCTTTTCCTAGTGCTCAAAGATAGTCATGATTAACCTTCTTCTTTACTACTCACATTTTCTGTATGTTTATGCTTGATTATGATCTTCTCTCTGATGTATACTCTTTAGGATTTATAAAATTTATTATTAAAACCTAAATATTCCCCCATTGTCATTAAAACTCTTCCTAAATATCTGTTTTAAGGCATGTAATAGATTTTAGCCTGTGCTGTTACATTACATTTTTTCTTTTAAGAGATACAGTTGGTTTCTGCATGTCCATTCACCCAAACTGCAATGAGTTTCTTTTTTTTTTTTTTTTCAATTGTGCAAAATATTAAACTGCTGAAGTGAGCTGTTTCTGATAGGCCCAGCCACCAGGCACCTCTGGCCTGGAGTCTGCTTGCTATCTAGTCTGTGCCTTTGCTCTCTGTTCCAGTCTATGGGCAGGCAGTTCTCTGCCTGGAAGGCTGCTGCCTACCTCATCTGCTTGGCCTTCAGCAACCCCAGCTCCCAGTTCTCTGCTACTTCAGTGTTTACAAGATGTAAACCATTCTTGACTCCTTGCTACCGGGTCTCCTTGTCGTTTGTATTTTTTCCCTTATAGTAACTCCTTCCCCACTAAGAACTGTCCTATTTTATATTATAGTTTCCTTTAGCTTGTTAATGTTTCCAGCTACACTTGAGCTAAGTGACCACATGGTTTGCATCTTTTGGTCGCACAGTTGTTCTTTATATCAAGTGTAGCATCTAACACTTAGGAAACAATAAGTATGGTTGTGTTGTACCATTAGCATGTCCCAAGATGTTCTGGGGCGAGGGCAAAACCACCCGGGCAGCTGCTTGTCACAGCTTATGCAGCCCAGCTGAGGGGCATGACTCCCTTTCTAGCCAATATGAAGGATTTGTTTAGCCTTCCAGAAGGGAAGGGGGCAACATGCTTGCTTTCTTCTTTGTAGGTAGAGGAGAATGAGGGATACCCTTTCATTTTCTTTTATTTAATAAATGCTGCACAGGTTTAGACTTCAATGATGATTGGCTTGAGTCCCTGTAAGATGTACTTCACTCTCATTATTAACAGGATAAGGGTAGTCTTTGTAAATCATGGCTTCTATACGGGACTGTTGGGATCAGTCATGCTTCTTGCTTCTCTCTTAAGGAAACTAATAGGGGAATATTAAAATTTATCAGGAAAGAGTTTAAAATTTTCCATGCAAAAATTAGAGCATATGAATCAAGTGAACCTATTATCCATCCCACACTTTCAAAGTCATCTGTAACAGAAGTCAACTCAGTGGTGAGATGCTTTGGGTTAAATCCTAAACACCCACTGTTTTTGGTGCTGATTACCTCATTACATCTTTCTGATTAAATCTGTCACTTTGCTGAGGCAATTACTTAGCCTAATGAATTAAACCTTTCCTATAGAAATGTTTGTTGATGCAGAAAGGTGATGTGTAAGGTATATAGTTGAGTGAAATAAAGCAGGTTACACAGCAATATGTTCCCATAAAAAGTGTGTGTAGGAGTGTGTGTGTGGTGTGTGCATGCACATACACATGTATGTATGTATATGTATGCAGAAAACTTTGCATGCATCTTGGTATATATACATCTTATATATCCATATCCATACTTATATGAGTATACATCTGTAAGCATACACACACACAATGTCTTCAAGAATACAGCCCAAACTATTAACAAATTTTATCTTTAGAAGGATGTTTCTCAGTAATGTTTTTATTTTAATAATATGGTATTTCTGTGCATTTGTACTTATAGCCCAAACTTAGCATGGCCAAATGCAGAAGAAATGTGGAAAACTTTTTGGAAGCATGCCGAAAACTGGGAGTACCAGAGGTAACATCAAACTTTGTTCAAATAACCATGTCTTAGTAAAAATTTTATTTCATGTATGTGTTAGAACCATTTAGTGTATGTAAAGCTTTGCACATTCTTTTTTAGTCTCAACCTTTCTCAAGGAATAATCTTGGGGTTTGTTATATAAAATTTTAATTTAAATTGTTCTATTTCTTGGGGGACATGAGCAGTGATATTAATATGGCTTTATAGAGTATGTTCAATGCTGAGGGAAAAGGGATAATAATTTCTTTAAGGTTTTGAAATAAATGTGAAATTCCAAGCTGGAAAAAAATTAATCAGCTAGATAAATGAGAATCAGTAGATTCTCTAGCCTGAGAACAGAAGTTGCTGAGGCTATAAATGAGCAAGTTCCATAGAACTTTGAAGCTGATGGTTTCCTTATTCAGAGCTCTAAAGAAGAGACCTATAGTAGCCCTAGTAACTGTTGGTTTTCATTCCCTGTAGTTGCATTTTGAGTATGTGAATCAAATACTGAACACTGAAAATATGATAATCATTGTTATTATTAAGGATAATAATAACAATGCTTGGGTGTTGCTTTATGATTTATGAACTGTTTGCATTTACCTTTCCTCCTGTGGTCTGCTCTAGGACCAGTTGGTAGTTCTCTGTAGCCATCACTGTAATAAATGGAAATGGATAGCAATTTTATTTCCTATGATTTCTTCTGTTTTTCCTAAAATTCCAGCATAGAGCAACTTAAAAATCTTGTCATGAGATACTGTTTTTGAACATGTGAAAGAATTAATATTCAGTAGTTCTACTCAGCGGTAGGAGTTTTTGGAATTGACCAAAGTGATCCTACCCTTCTGGCCTCTTTTCTTCCCCTTGTTGTGTCTTTTTTTTAATATCCCCTTCTTGTTTTAATTTAGTAGATTAAGAGATGGTGTGGGGTTGGCAAGAGGCTTCTAATCTTTCTTGAGGAAAAGGAGAGCATTATGAAAGCATAATCCTTAACTGGGAGCTGTATCAATTAAGAGACTTATAAATTCATTTTATAAAAGAATATAACTTTTATCTAATAGACCAGATGTCTTTGTGATCAGTTCTGCTTTCCACTTCCAATAGTGTGAGTCTGTGTCTGTGTTGTATATGTGCATTTTAATACTACATATACATCTTTGACTTTGACTATTTGTGAAAATTCTTGCATACGTTTACTAATAATTTAATTTTTTCTTGGCCTGGTAAGATTTCCTTGCTTGAATCAAAACTCCCATGCCAAGTTCCAGATGACAGATTATTCGTGTCTGGACTAGAAAGCACTGAGGAGTTATGGCCTTAGCCCCCTGGGATGATTTAAAACTCATCAGTGCAGGTTTTTGTTTTTGGCTTGCAGTGATACAAAATGAAATGGGGATGTCCTTACCCATTTCTCTAGAGTAAGCTGGTGATTACAATTTCCTTTTCAAGTAGGAAAAAGTAAATAAAATTGCCATAAAAATGCAGAGCAAGATTTATTACAGTTTCTGATTTATGCCCCTAGCATAGTGCTCCTAACACTAATAGGTAACACATAATTCCAAAGCAGGTTAAGATAGAGGAATGGAATGACCTTTTTTGCTGATGTTCCAATTAACTATGCTTAGTAAGAAGTATATCCCTTGGAATTTTAAAAAAATTATTCTTAAGGTTTCAGGTGTTTTTCAAGTCTACTGTGTGAGTATATATGTGTGTGTTGTTTGTTTGTGTGTGTGTGTGTGTATACACACATTTATTTCCATCCTAATGGATGATGCAACAGCATTTTACAGTGCCTTAGAGTTCTTTTAAGGTCATTGCTACTAGAAAAAGCTAGTGGCCAATTAAAATTCTTTAGTAAGAATGTTAAAACAAGAAAGAATTATTCTAGTGGAAAACCAGAAATTCCCAAATGGAAGACAATTGGAAAGTCTTGTTCTATACTCAAAACAGCATGTTTTCATCTCACAGAATGCATAAGGACATGTTTCCATTTAGGGCTATTGCAGTAAATTGTGGGGTCCAATGGCTCCCTCCCTCTCAGACACATATGTTCCTTTTACTTCTTAAAGAGTGTCAATGTTTGAATGTACATGTGGCTCCCTACAACTGATGGTTTACACTAAAAAAGTGTTATCATAAGAACACTTGCAGAAACATTCCATCTATAATTAGGCATTTTGAAAGATTGGTACGGAAAAGTCACAGAGGACCTGCATTATTACTTTTTTGCCTTCAATCAAACTTAATTCCTAGGTAAAAAATTTATATATATTCATTAATTTTCAGTTTTTAACACAGTTAATTCTCTCTACTCTGCAAACTTTACTTTCTTTATCCATAGCTTATACATACACTCATACCCCAGAGATCTTGAGTTCTGCATTTTATAAGCTAACTACCTAGTTGACAATGGTAAGTCATAAAGACTGAGACTTCACAGCTGTACTCTAAGTCTATTTTTAATAGAACCACCATTTAAAACTACAAACTGAAGTTAGGGTGAGTAGCTCATATGGTCTATCAGGAGCACATGAGTGGAAAACAGTAGCTGAGCAGATTTAGTTAAACAATTACATATGAAGTCATTTGTTCCTATCATTATAGTTCATTGTATTTTTTTTTTTTTTAGAAGTCCCTACGAGCACAATCCCAGCTTTTCACCCCGGGGTTCATGAAATAGCCATATATGATGTAGCAGCTTGTGGTTTGTTGAGCACCCAGGAAGTGTATTTATGCAGGATGATCTGGATAGTACCTAAATTTACTGGATAAATAGTAGAGGGCAGTGTTCAAGACTGTCCTTAGGTGGAATTTTAAACCCAGTTTTTATAGTAGAGTGTCTGAACTGATTTTCAGTAAACATGGCTTCTTTCATTGGCTCCATGCAGACTTGTAGGCAGTGTTAGCAGCATCTGTATCCTTTGTGGTACTGAGGCCAGATGGTCAGATCATGCAGCTGTCCTTGACCTCTGCGCTAGCATCAACTTGGTCTGGAGGACAGGACTTAGTTGGGCTTCTGAATCCTTCAGGAGAAAGTTATGTATCACCTGTGAATCTGAGTCTAGTTAGGCCTTGGGCTCATGGGGCCATTTATGAATCTGCTGAGTTTCTTTTTCCATTTCTGAGTCAGTTTGGTTGTAGCTGGCTTCTGACCTTTGTGTCAGATTCATGGTTTCCAAATGGATCCAAACTCAGGGTTGTTTTAGAGCTCTCATTAATGTTCTCTCTGGGAGAAAGAAATCTCTTTAATTTATGAAGCCTTAAAATTATTAAAGAATAGATGTTTGGTTCACCAGGGAAATTGATCTACTCAATTTTAAATAAGTGTCCTTGATCTCAGAACTCTGTAAGGAGTAAGGTCCTTAGTTGAACAGACTTACCCTTCATCTTTAGATGAGGGGACTTGAAGTAGAAATGTACTTGGTTTCTAACTGCCTGGCCCTTCATCTCTGTTGTATCTCCAGAGAGAAAGCACACAGGGACTCATCTGAGGTGGGTGGCAGACATCTCGATAGCCACTGGCCCCTTCCTGCCTGTGTGGGCAGCCCAGGGTCCTTTTAGGTCTATAGGAGGATGTTTTCATCCCATGTCCACAAGCACAGGTCATTGGTGTCCCTCAGCTTCTGCACCAGCCAAATGGAGTTAAAACTAAAAGCTTAACATAGTTCAGAGGCTAACAATGATGGTTTCAGTGTAAGTGGAATTATAGCTGAGTTTTTCTTCTTTTTACTTTTGTTGTGCTTTATAGTGAGATTTTAGATCTGAAAGTAATAGTGGTAGCTTTTCTGTTACACACCTATTGTGAGGGTTAGGTCACTTACATTATGTAACTGGTCACATTTTTTTGTGATTCAAAGACGGTATATGAATTGAAGCCATTATTTTTTTGTTTATTTGCTTTCATCTCAAGGAGAAATACGTTTCGTTTCATTCTTGAGCCTTGTATCTCTCCTTCCCTTCCCCTAAATCAATGACTTTTGTATCATTTTAAATCATAACCCACACAGTTTTGGGGGAGGGAGAGTGGGATTCTTATTGTAATATCTATTTCAGTGTTGCATTTATATTGGTTAATTCTGAGGTTGAATAACCAGAGATATAGACTGACAGGTTTATTATTACACTAGTGTGTAAATTCATTTTTTAAAAGATCCCATCTATAGCTTGTAAAATCAGTGCTTCATTTTTAGGTAGTCTGTGCTGCTGTTTACATAAGCATCCTTTCCCTGGGAGATATGCCTGCTGGTCACCTCTGGCTAATGGTTTGATGGTCTTTCATATGTGCATGGTTGAGAATAAATCATTTTAGAAATAGCACCTTTGAAAAGTTTTTAATTATGTTTTGAGATAAACTAGTTACTAATTAATAATTAGTGTTACCTCTAAGTTCATAAAATTGGCAGTTACTGGAAATCCTCTATATTCTTTTCCTTCCTGGCCACATTACACATGTCTGTGAATTTGGACTTTTTTGGAATGACCGTCAACATTCCTGTGCCACGATATTTTAGATTAAAAATACTTTTATAAACATAGTGAGTTTTAGAAATATATTTAAATTAAATATATTCCAAAGTGTTAAATAAAACTTCTGTTTGCATATAGTTAGCTTTTAGAATTTAGACTATGTGACACCCAGAACATCTATGAAAATTAAACCCTTTGACAGATCTGTCTACATTTCTGTTTCTGTCCATAGCATGTAGGGAATCTGAGCCGATCTCAGTCATGTCCTTGTGTTCACTGTAACCAGATCATTTAACCTCTGCTGATTGTGATTGTTGCTTACTGGAATTGAAATGTACATCCCCACACTTGCCTCTAGGGGTGCTTGAGAGAATTGACTGTGTTTTTCAAACACTTCAAACATTACAGATATTCTGTAAACACATGGTGAGGTTTTACCTCTTTAAATTTCCTTGGGTTTTAGTTTTTTCCTATTTCACTTTTCAGAAATATCATCCCTAAGACCTGCTCATTGGGGCTAAATTTTGGCAAGCACAACAATCAGA